TCTAAAGACAGGACTGGTTCTAGACACATTTTGGAGTGATTTCATTGGGCTTGTTGCAAATGAAAAACATGCAATTTGGTGTAAGATGAATAAACATTGCAATGTAAGGCTATTGCAATATGACCTTGAGAGTTATAGACGTTTGGACATGCACTTCACTCCTGTGGTAAGAACACTGTATATTGCTGTATGCCACCAAGCATTTGCCTTCAAGAGGCCACATTTCAATTCCAGCTGCGACATCTTGCCTACGTTATATTCTGTCACAGTTGATTTTCCATACATGTACACGTTTATTTGATAAGACCCAAACACAAAGGCAGATGGAGGCTTTATTGAAAAAATGCTCATTAATCATGTCCGCCCAAACGTACAGGTTGCACACATCCAAAGGCAGTGCACGGGTGTTCTTTTTTTCCCTTAACAAGCTGAGAAAAGTTGCTTCTCCGTGGCGAGCTCTTGGTCTCCTTCATGACTAGTTTCCATCGTTACCAAACATTTTTGTCGAGCTTTTTAACTTTGATTTCACAACAGGATGAGTTAACTGAATTACAGGCTGAAAGGATGGCAGAGGGAGAGTGTTTATCACAAATCACTGAAGAGGTCAGGGGTCGTTTGCAACTGATTTGCATCTACTGATCTGCAATTTGATTGGCTTAATCCTCTGGTGCTGTGGAAACACTCATACAACACATGCATTATGTTTTTATCCCTTCATGTCTTTTTGAAAGAGGTTCTTCGAAATCCTTTCTTATTCCTTAACATAAATGTAAAGCAGCACTGGAAAAATGCACAACGAATATTAAAACTAATGTTTGGTCAAACATGTCAAAGGGAGCTGAAAATGGGCCAACTTGTCAATATTTATGAACCCTAGTCCGTACAATACAACTGAAACCAAATGTAGCGCTTGTAATACTGACCATTAACTATTGAGAGACCGCTTGCCTATAAACTGTTTATAAAGTAATGTGGGACTGAATTTACTAACACCTTTCAGCACTTACCTGACTTCTGTCTGCAAACAGTTACGATTATTTCCAAATCTGTGATCTTTTATTTGATGAACGTTCGTGTGATGTGCTCCCTCTCTTTCACTTTCCGTTGACAACAGTTCCGTTGGCACAGTTCTAAGCCTTATCTAGACTTTATGACAAATCAAAGAATTTCTTGATTTCCTGAGATGATAGAGAAAAGAAGGTAATGGATTTCTCAAAAATTCAGTGGTTCTCTCTCAAGCTCTGCTTTGTTTTTGGTGAAGTGTGCATGTGTTTACTGAGTCTCAATTAATCAAAATAACATTCAGTATCATGTATTTTTCCTTTCCACTTGTAGCATTGCAAGTAAAGGGAATGGAAGATGGGATTTGTCATGCCTCATTTCATTATTCTGCAGGTGTCTGCTTATCTGTAGTTAAGCATGGTATTAATCTTTTGCCCTTACTGGAGGCATTTCTCCATATTTCAGAGTCGTTCCGCATGATTTTCTTTTTTGAAATCTGCAGTAGTTTGCGATCTTCTCTGTTGGCATCAATTATACTGTCGTGTAGCCAGATAAACTGCAAACTGTTATATCGTTGATTTTATTTCTTCAGACACTTTATCCAGTTATCCATGAGTCAATCAGTGGCCATTTTATGAAAAGACCTTGGATGACGAGATGTCCCAACGTTATCTTATTGGCACCATGTATGAAATATCGCACCATATCAGACTCGGGTCATAAATACTGCATTCAGTTCGTAGTCATTCTGTAAACTTTGCGACATCTTCAAAACGAATATCAAGATTTTTGCACTCGTTTGATATGCATTTATATATGGAACTAGTTAGCCCGTTTTTCTCTGATTTCTTGACACTTGATGGTGTATCTCTGACCCTGCTGTTGGTTTTTTCTTCTGCAGGGTGCCATGGTGAAGATTATCCTTCTTTTTACCTACATCGTGGGTGTGGTCAGTTTTCTTATCTTCCTAGTTGTCGTCGTCGGACTCGCTGGGAACAACATGTAGATTTCTCACTCTTTTGCCAAGATCTGCTCTACTCAAATAGCTTCATCTTTTGTATCGTCCAAGACATGACAACCATTGCTTCATATTACAACATAGATTGGCAGGGATGTTGATGTGTTTCTGCATAGCAAAGTTTAGCAAGTTTTAAGAAATCTCTTCTCCATATTGGGTGCCTTTGGTTTGCTTTAAAATTTCACGAATTGTGAAAATTTGGGACATGTAATTATTTTTATTGACAAATTTGTAATGTACAAGTTTGTTAAATTCCCTTAGATTTGTCGCACATGCTTCATATTGATTTTGTCTTTGTATGTGATGGAAGAGATGTCTGTGTGTATCATAGAACGCAACTATCAAACGGTAAAGAATTATGCACAATGTATAAGCAGTACAATCCAGTCTATACCTCAATTATATTTTTCGGTTTCTGTACTGAAAAGATTGTAATAATTACAACGAATTGTGTAACATTGACAAATTAAGAGAATTTAAGTGCAGACTTACTGTTTGAATGTGTCATGATAAGATCGATTAGAAATAATATTAGACTTAGTGATAATGTGACCTAGCCTGACAAAATGAGTTGGAAGTCACCAAAGCCAAATGTGAACAAAAATGCCTTAAACAGAATCTGCACAGTGTGAATTAATGGGAAATGCTCAGCATTTTCTTTACCCACATCGTGTCCATTTCATCAGGATGCCAGGCTTAGTGATTCATCTGTAGGGAGAACTCAGTTTGCTCTTTCTGATCCACACTAGGGGCAAATAACTGGAAACTTTTACTGAAAATTGCCATCTTTTCCAAGGCCTTATTCTCGATCAGAAGAGACGATACGCAATGGGTTAAAAACTGCCTGTTATGCATGACGTGACATGCAGTTATATATTTTACATGAAAAATAATAACTTTTTATAAACTCATTTATGCACAAAGAGACTTATCTGATTCTATTTTCATTTCAGAGAAGTGATGTTATACATACAGATCTGTGGTGCCTTTTGTGTACATATTCTTCATGTATTCGCACAAACAACATTTTATTGTGAGAAGTAAACAAGCATCTGCTTGGTATTTTGTACTTCAGTAGTGTCAAGTAATTTTCCAGCAGAAAATCTCTTAGCAAATTTTTGGAAATAATTCTTGGACAATTTTTCTCCTTTGGAAGGAAAGGTAAATCAATTTAATCAAGTTATTATCATTCATTACATGTTCATTGTATGTATTGTAGTAGTCACTGCGTGTATGGTTCCTGCACTGTCCTGTGTTATGATATCATGATGTGGTCAGGAGATTTGAATGTTATTAATTGTGATCTTCGATAAGTGCATTGAATAGGAGTGACAATCTAGAAAGCTTGGGAAAGGTTTCTGAACTGTTTAAGCCTTGTTTTCTCTGAAATTATGTCATTGAAGTGTTATCTTGTCTCTTTATTCTCTTGCATAATTGTGCTCAAAGGTTTTTAGATTGCTTTGTTTCTCAGAAATTCATTCCTTGAACAATGAGCAAATGTAAATGTCGTAAAAATCAAGTGAAGCCAGGCTTTACGGATAGTTTATTTGAAATTGCTGAGTTTTTTTTAACTGTTTGAAATTTGATTTTTAACTTTCATTTGTGCAACTCCAATAAATATGGTATGGTTTTTCATTGTTGAGCAGTACTTTTGCATATATGTATATTTAGTTTGTTGCTTAACCTTTGACCCAGTGGCTACTATCTTATGAGAAAGGTTGGAGCTGTCCAGACAAAGCCTGTACCCCCCTTTAATGTGGATATGGCTTGATCTCTGATGGCGTGTTTCATGCACACCAAGCGAGGCATGTTAGCCTGTCGTCATGGAATCTCTGGACCTGGTTACCGTCAGTGCCCATATCATAGTCTTGGAATTCATGGCAGCAACTTAATAGTATGACCTTAAGATGTTAGTCTGCGTTGTTTTTGTTATTAAATTGCTGCAATCGAACTGTAGGATTTGCCTTGGTAAATTTCATTTAATTGCACAATGCAAAATTGTATCATCAATTTTTTACGTCATTGTAGTGTCTATAAAAGGTTCAGTAATGAAGCAGTTGGAATGGAATTGTTTTGTTATTGTTGGATTTTGGTCATGCTAAGTGAAGACGGAGGAAATCTTGCACGCAACAGCTGGATATTATTTTTTCATGATATTGAGAGGGTCGAGGTTATCAGTGAGGCATTCATATTCGTAAGCAATACTGTGATGTCATCCCTCGAAAAAAATTAAACTGGTTTTTAAAAAAAATGCTGGAAGTTTTCTATTTCACTGCCGAGATGCATCTCCCATTAGTCATATCATATCACGGGGGGGGGTCTAGGGCACGTGCCTCCCACAAATTCCCGATGCCCTGAAAAAAACGGATAAATTGATATTGAACAAGGCTAACAAAAACTTGCCCCCCAAACGCGTCACTGAAAGCTGGTGCCCCCCCCATAAGATGCTGGTGTCCCTTTGGCCCCCCCCAAAAAAATTCCTAGCTACAGCCGCTGCCTCAGGATTCCAGGCAGCAAGTGTATGGGCAATTTTTAATGCTTTGAGAGGTTCGTTTTTTTAATATACCTAACGTGCAAGGAATGAATCATTTTTATACTCGAGGAGAAACTGGCTATTACTAATATTAGGGCACGGTGCAGGTGTTAGCGGAAAAATTCAATGCTACTCATTGACCACCAAGTGAGGGCGCTCTAGTCAAAACATCGCGCTAGTTCAATTTACCTGAAACTGAACTTCTGGGCGGGCGTGAAGACTTGTCTTGTCGGGATTTTGTGTCTGAAAATTTGGTTTCCTTTTTTAAATGCCGGGAATCTTGACTTTATATATTCACCATGCTACTAGGAAACCCTACAGGGAGGCAATGCATCCAGGAAATGCGTAAGGTTTTGTTCTTAAGACAGAAATCTTTTGGCTTTGCTTGCCGTTATCTTCATGTGCACTCCTTACATTTCCACAGTCATGGTCATGACAGTGGGCTTGCTAGGAGAGTGGCTAGAACTTTGTGTACATGTCGGCCCAACATGACTAACCGCAGTTTCAGTCGTCTCAACATACGACGTTTAAGTATAACCAGCAGTAACTTCAGTGAAACTGAATCAAACAGTACTGTCAGTAGCAGGCGTTACTCGACGCCAGCATCAGAATCCAAACACCATCGCCCAGTTTTCAAAGTCTTGGATGGTGCCGTGGACACATCTTCGCCAACCTTTCAGACCAGACTGGCGCAGAGTCAACACCTTGAGGAGAAGCACAACCAAATGGTGACCGTTGCAAGATCTGGGGGAGGACCAAAGGCTATGGAGCGGCACACCAAGGCCCACGGCAAGCTGTTTGTGCAGGACAAACTGCAACTGTTGCTGGATGAATACAGCGACAACACATTCCTAGAGATCGGAACATTAGCTGGATTTGGCATGCCGTATGGTGATATACCAGGTGCCAGCATTGTTACTGGTAAGACCAAGACTCATGACTGAAAGCATTTACTGTAATTCCAGAAAACAATTTTTAAAAAAACAGAAACAGCGGTACATGTAAATGCAACATTGCTGGTGCATCAGGTGCATTGGATGTTTTTATTGCTTAAACTTTAATGTAGCCTACAAAAACTTAACATGTAGGCCTATGCCTACATGTACTGGTGCTAGGCCTTGGATACTAGGCCTATCCTAGGTTAGTCATACATACATAAACAAAGTCCTTGCCCTCTAACTCCGCCTTAATGCACAAACTCTAGCATCTGTGACCGTATGACCGGGTACGGTGTAGTCACCAGATCCCTAATTTTGCCACCTACTGTATTTTCAAGTGACAACTCTGATTTGTTTAAGGGGCCTGGTGACTATACCGTACAATCATGACAATCACTGATGTTAATGGTCACAGTTTGTGGATAAGGCATTCACTGGTATTCGGTATATCACAATAATGGTTAGAGCCCATCTTGGCCATGTTAGCATCCAACTTCCTGACAACCAGTGTTTAGGCTCACAATGTTACATGAACAGGGGCAAGTACTGGGCATTTCATGGAGACTGTAGGGAAATTCCTCATTGTCTGTATGAAACACGCAAAGCATAAGGCTTGCTTACCTCAAGGAAATATTCGCTTAAAGATGGGGCCATACATGTATGTGCAACCCCCCAAAAAATTTCTTCAATTTTTACATGTATCCCAAAGCCTTATTAACAAAGGTGCCCGGTAAGCATCCTGCAAAATCATTTCGTCTGAAATGCCTGGGATTAAAAATCAATAAAACTTTGTCAAAAAATTTGAATCGCCAAAGGTCGTCTGCAGGCGACTTTGGGAAATTTTTGTAGTGTCCGTTGGAATGCTACCCTCACGCAATGAAAATCTGCCAGTTTATAGAGCCAATTTGCAACCCATGCATTCCCGGAATGGGTGCACTGCATAGCTACATAGACAACCTGGCAACATGCGCATAGCATACACGTGCATGTAGCAGTACACGTCGAGAGTATGTAGTGCAGTCTGGAATAGCAATGGAGGAGTTGCCCGAACCGCTGCTGAAATGGCACTGTATCAGAGCACTGTTCTTTATGTCCGTATTCTTAACCACTTCCTGCTGGGGAACCCCTATACTCAGCAAGAAATGAGACCAAGGGGTACGCCCCCCCAACATGTCCAATCCCTAAACACATTCCAGACTATTGTTACTTAACACATCCCCCCAAGATGTCTGAAAGGAATTCCCCAGATTCCTGCGAGACAATGACCAACACAAAGCAGGGGGGGTTCTCTCCGTCTCATACCTTGCTGCATATGGGAACCCCATTTCGGGCACATACATGTACATGATGTACATGTAGGCTTACTACATGTACATGTACCGGGAACTCAAAACCGGACAAAAGAGCCGGGCCTTATAACGAAAGACCGAGCTGCTGGGAATTGCATTTTTTCAGTTGTCAACTGCAGAGGAAATCCGCACTTTTTGTCAAAGATGAAACCACTGTTTGTGGCATTCAGCACGAGTGGATTACCACTGGGGACAAAAGCACTCCAGTGATGAATGATACAATACCGCTGCACACTAACATGACTAATCTGTCCCCCATTGAAAAGACGCCAGTGGCGCACTGTGCCGGGTTCGTGAGAAAAAGAAAGTTACATGTACATAATACCGCATAATCTGGGCTCTTTTTACAAGGCCGCAGGCCTGGCAGAAATACTCGGGCGTCAATAGATGTTGTCTGTCAAATTAGAGTAGCCACCAGACAGTTATTTACATGTATGTGGGTGTAACTACCGGTACAAAAACCATAACTTTTTAAAATAAAATTTAAAAATATCTTTTTAAACCCTCCTCTGGTTTTACAGCACAAACATGACAAATACACCCAAGTGCCCACAGTCACTCTCTTGCATATGTTTTTTATATGGAACACAAACATGCACAGGTTCAGTGTGGACACAGGTGGTTGGCCTTTTGGGCCATCCTCTTAACTGCATTTGGTTAACTGCACAATTATGCACATGAAACAGTGAGGCACAGTTGTTGGGCAGCACAAAAGTGCAATCTGATATTCCTGTGAGGGACAGTTGGTGCAGTGCACAACACCACTCAGCTGTGCTTCTTTGAGTTATTTACCATGTGATCCAAAGAGTGACTTCAGCGTAGGAGGGTTTTAAATTAATGAAAGTAAAATACCGTACATGTATCCTGTTATTGACCTTCCGTTGCCAAAATAGTAACAGAAAGACATACATGTATTAATTAATTGTAATTAAGAAACAAAAATTACCAATGTGTCAGTGACAGTGCCATATTGTAGGCCTGCACGTACAGTACCTGAAATTGCTTTAACTGTCTTAACATTCACACTGCAACTTTTAAAGCAAAGTTAAAAATATGTACTTTTCCAATATGTACTTATATTTTTATGGTCCAAAATATTAAAAGTCACCGAAGTGAGACAAATGATGCAAAACACGGGAAAAATGTTTTGATCAGTTTCATATGAACTGGTCTTTCAAATAACTGAATATATTGTCATTTGAACATATTTTTCTTGGTACCTGAACGTGTATAATGAAAAACTTTCACTTTTGGGGATAAAAACAAGATTATTAGTTAATCCAATCTTTCTTCACCAAAATGGATCAAAATTCAAAATTTTGTGTCTAAATCTTGAAAATATAGACTTTTACCACTGTTTACAATGTAGCTTCCATTTGACACCAAGTTTGTTTTATTCACGTGTATTTGATTTTTTTTTATGCCAAGTCCACTTTGGTGTGGAATTGCCCTATTGTCAGATTGTTAAAAAATATTTTAAAAACCTGCAGCACTGGAGCCTTTACATGTACCGTAGTTGTGAAATCATTCTTTATCCTATGGAACTAAAGCACTGACCCAGATACATGTTTCTTTCCAGAAGAATATCACATGTTATTAAGCCTTTATCTTGCCATTTTGACTTGGAAAGGTGTTGGGAAAATCAATGGGGTCTGGTGTGCAATATCAGCCAACGATGGTACCATGAAAGGGGGAACCATGTACCCCATCGGGGTTAAGAAACAGTTGAGAATACAGGAGATCGGCCTGCACAACCGACTGCCGTGTGTCTACATTGTGGACAGCGGGGGCGCTTTCCTTCCACTACAGGTACATGTACATGTTGCAAAGCCACACAGTTTTATACCCCTCAAGGGATGCACTGTACATTACATTCATCTTGTCTCGTGCGTGTATCTGGATCTGTCTGTCTGGCTGTCTGTCTGTCTGTCTGTCTGTCTGTCTGTCTGTCTGTCTGTCTGTCTGTCTGTCGTCTGTC